AGGAAGGAAGGAAGGAAGGAAGGAAGGAAGGAAGGAAGGAAGGAAGGAAGGAAGGAAGGAAGGAAGGGGAGGAACTCCTTTATGGATAATACCTACCTTCCCGCAGACTTCGCAAGTGAAAACTTTGGGTTTGGCATTGGGAGAGCCGCGGCTGAAATCCGAGGCTTTGAATGCAATTTTTTCTGACAAAAGTTGGGCGCTTTCTTTCATGTAATGCTGCAGCTGAGCCTGGGACAGGTCTTTGAAAGCTACACCCGAAGGGAGCTTCTCCACCGCGGGGACAACCAGTTTATTCCTTTCGGCTAAATACGTTTTTGGCGGTGGGTGCAAAGGGGAGCTGAGAAAATAGGAGGCCACGGGGTGGATGTTCACGCCCGCAGCCGGGTGGCACGGACCATCACCTCGGTTCAGGTAGCACAGGGCGCCCATGGCGTGGAACGAAGAGTGGTTGACCACGCGCGGCCTTACCAGCTTGTACTGCTGCAGGGGCAGCGCGTCGCGGGCCAGGTCGCCCTTGAGACTTAGCGCGCAGTTGAGCAGGTCGCTGCAGCTGAACGCCGGCGCGGAGGGCGCCACGGCGGGCGGCGCCGGAGCCTCCAGGCTGGCCTTGCGGGGCTCGGAGCCAGTCGCTCCGGCTTTGGAGCTAGGGTCGTACGCCACGGGGACGAAAGGGATCATGCAGGGGATCGACGAGTTGAGGTGCAAGGAGTGCTTGGGGTCTCCTTTGGGCACGGCTCCCTGCAGGAAGTGAGGGACCGGCAGGGCCTTGGGCTCGGGGGTGCGCGCCATGATTCGTTCGATGGAGAAAGCCAAGGGTTTGGATGTGTTCATCACGTTGCCCCGAGCTGGAGCCGTCGCTAGCATTTTGGTGGTCGCGTTGAGGCAGCTACTGTCCATGACTGAGTCGCCAGCTTCCGTCCGCCGCCGGGGTTGGGTTGCGCGGTCGTTGCCTCGTCCCCTGCTTGTCACAGACCTGCGGGGAGGACGGGCACCGTCACCACCAGCAGCCTCCTCCTCCTCCTCCTCCCCAGCATCACCAGCCGAACCTGCCTGCCCAGCCCAATGGACTCCTGCCAGCCCATCGCAGAGTTCTTGGCGCACCAATGACTCGGGGACAATCACTACTTATTTCTATCAATAGAAAGTGTTGTGTCAATAACGCAGCCAAGATCTCGCCAATCGTTAACTTCCAAGAGGAGAAGGTAAACTAGATAATTGCTCAATTCGCTTCCAACAGTCAACAGGAAAACTTTTTTTTCCCCTCTGCAGTCGGTGACTACTTTTCATTGGCGAGAGAGGTTCCCCCGCCCAGAAGAGGCGGGGGCGCTCTCCCTCCGCAATGCGCCGTGCCCTCCCCTCCACGCAAGCGCCTCGCCCGCCCGCACACGCTGCTCTACCCTCCAACCGCCCCTCCCCCTTGCTCCCTCTGTCTTTTTAATTCTCAATCTGCTTAACCAGGCTTTAGAGGCCAAGCAAATCTGAGATCAATTTTCTCGTTTAGCTCTAAGTGACATCATCTAAAATCATTGTGCTAGGGCTAAATAAGGAAACAGTCTAATTCAGGGGCAAATGCCAGGCTATATTTATCAAACGCCGGGCTCTAGAAAGCCTTGACCAGGAAGCCTCTGACGGCAAAATCCGAGGTTTCTTTCCTTGGTTCCGCTGAGCCCAGGTCGGGCCACGCTACCTCCCACGCAGTCCACTTTCGTCCTCCAGGACCCAGGGGGGGTGCTCGTTCCCTGAATCCTGGAGTCTCTACAGCTCGAGCGCATCTGGACCCTTTGGAAGACACCAGCAGGTAACTGGCCTCCCAAAATGCCCCTGAGATTTGAAGGCCTTGGGAGGCTTGTTATGTGTTTGTGGTTTTGCAAAAGTGATACCCATGGCAATAGTCCTGGGAAAGGCGCACTAGCACCACAAAGTTGAGGCTGAGGAGTTGCAAGGAATAAGCGGGTGTCACGCCGCCAGAAACCTAGACGCGGATCGGACTCACACACAAACACACGCGAGAGCGCGCTTGCTTGAGTTTCCAGAGAGAACCTCGAAAAGGCAAAGGACTCGCGCCCACAGCTCTTCCCGAGCCGAGCGTTCTAAATGTGGAGCCGAGAAGGGAGACAGAGTCTGTCGATCCCGGCTGCCCGCGTCTGTAAGCCTTGAGAGCAGTCCGTGCCCGCGACACCCAGGGTGTCTGTGCGCAGAGACGAACTAGGCGAATCGTCCGCCCCGCGTGGCGACCACAGCCACATCTGTGGCCCCCAAAGAGCGCTTGGCGACCCTGAACGCACCCCCACGTCCTCCGGGCGCCTGGCGCCCTCCTGTTGTGACTCCCGGGCCCTGATTCCTGGGGCTGAGATTCGCGAGCTGTGCGAGGCTTTGGTGAAGACGCCCGAGGCTGAGGCTCCCACTGAGCGGGTCCCCGCGGCTCCGGCCGGTGCGAGCCGAGAGCAGCGGTGCCAGTGCGCGCCTTCCGGGGCGCAGTCCGCACAGAGCCTCCAGCCGCGAGCCGCAGAGCCCAGGGACCAGGCGTGCTCCTGAGGTGCTGGTAGTAGGAAAACCCGGCGGTTTTCAAGCTAGCGCCCTAAGGAGCGCTGAGCTGTGAGCCCTGAGCTCCACCGCCTGGAGGCAACCTCCCAGCACCATCCGCCCGGTGAGTTATTCTAAGGTGTGTGGCCAAGAGTATAGCATGCTGTTCTCCGGTGAGAACTCTGGAAAGGGCTAGCAATGGGAGGTGGATGTGGGAGCCTAGGATTGTTGAGCCCAAGGCCAATTTACTCAAAGGTGCCAAGCTGGAGTTCAAATGGAGGCGCTTTCAAGTATGTCTCCCTCCATACCCCTTTTCTAGCCTAGGCCAACCCAGGGACCCAGACTCCTCCGCCCCACACTGACTTTGCCTGAGCTAGTTCAGTTACAGCCAGGGGGAAAAAAAACAAAAAAACAACTTTGAGGTGGAAAGGAAGCCAGAGATAGTCGTTGAGGCCTGACAGTGACGCAGGACCGCTGAGTGGATGCTGGGGAAAAATGATCGCTGGAAAAATAAGGGCCGGCAGAAAGTTATTTTGAAAGCCAGATGGTGGGAAATCTGGCTGTTTGTGGCCCGCCTTAGAGGCTAGGCCAGGGAGTGTCTCATTTCAAGTATCCAGGCAGCTTCTGAAAGGCCGGTGAAGCAGAGAAGAGCAGGAGTCCCGGACAGGACACCTCGGACTACACAAAACCCGGGAGGCATTGTGGGGCCCTTTTGGGCCTCAGTTTTCCTCAGCTGGAAATGTTCGATTTGCTTTTGGGGCCTTAGAGCCTCTGTCCTTCACCTGATCAGACAAAGGGCGCGGAACCCGAATTGCTTAAGGAAAGGCCGCGGGGCGGGGTGTCCCCGTCCCACGACAGATGGGTAGAGGTTAAGACTTTAATTGTTGCCTTTGGGGGCGGATCAGATTCCCTTTCCTACCTGCCTTCCCAACAGCGAAAAATCTCTCTCCGGCTGCACTCCTCCCGCGCCGGTACAAGTTTAAAGAAGACAGCAGAGGCGAGAAACGGCCGGGTGCGGAAAGCCTAGGAGCGCCCAGCTGACTTGAGCAACTCCCCGGCCTCTGCAGCGTTACCAGCCGTCTTGACTGAACGCCACCAGTTTCTTTTACGTTTGTCGCGTGTCCCTCCCTCTTCTCTTCTTCTCCTCCCCCTCCCCTCTCCTCAGCCGGGTGAAAACGCCTTTATTTGCCTTCGATAAATTTCCTCTTCAGTGGACACTAACTTTTAAAAAAGGAAAATATTAGCGGAGGGCTTTATATAGTTAACATTTCAATAGTTCTCCTTTCATTGGCCTTTCGGGATTTGCCTTTTCTGCCAAGTGTTTGAAAATGTCACTTGGGTAAATACAGCAAGGCACCAATTATCTCCTTTCTTTTGAGATAGCCCTGATTTTGCTAATCCCAAAGACCGAAGATGTGTTTTACAAATCCAAGTCTTAATATACCAATATTTGTTAATATTTTCCACTCGGTATATAACCAAAACATGTATTAACGTTTAATATGTGTTCCATAAGGTAAAGATTCTCTTAAAATACTCAATATATTTAGGAACAGTTTCTTAATGTCAGAAATAAATACTTTGTTTTATTTACAAACACTTGAAATTACAGAGGAGTAACAGGCACAGAGCATACATTTGGAAGGTTTAGAAGGCCTTAGAGATTCCACCAGTTAAAATTGTTCGGTTTACTTAAAAGAATATAAAGGAGTTTTGTTTGTTCAGTTAATAGCAAAATAGAAACTTACAGATCTTTAGGATTTCTTGGAGATTCCCATAATCTTCCCGTGTGTGGTTTAGAGCTGATTTTACTTGTCCCACCCATCGACTTTAATTCCAGGTGCAAGTTGAGTTTAAGTATTTTGGTTAGTAAACATGGGATATCCCATGAAACCAGAACAGTCCTTGATATAAAGAGGCCAATTAACAAAGTGGAATCAATACCTGAAAAACAAGGAAAATTTTCCTACTACGTCACAATCGAAAGTTACATCTTCTGTAGACTCTAACCTTGTATTTCAGTGTTTTCTTAACTGTGTTCTTCATAATTCTCAAAGATTTGGGTAATTTCCCTCAGACTTCTTACTTAGTCCCTGTCGTAAGCTAGCAGTTTTAGGGTAAAGATTATTGCCATCTGAAATTTAAAAAAAAAAAAAAAATAGGAGATAGCCATAAATCACCGAGTGTTCTGTAATCTTTGACTATTTCCTTAATAACTCACAGAATACTGATGAAATTTTTTATTTTAAAAAATGAATTGGAAAACATGGTAACGTGGCAGATCTTCAGCCAAGTGCATAGATTTGTCACTACTCTGTGTCTAGGGTTTCCAGATCCAGCAAGCATCCCTGACTTCCAGCTCTCCTCACAGTCCAGATAACTAGTTGTTACAATTATCACGGCCTCCTCGGTGTTTGAGGGCATCTACCCTGTTTCCCGTCTAGGAAAACAGCACCATAGGCCACACAGATCACTTCTACAAGGGGAAAGGCATCCCTAAATTCCTCCACAGTCTTTGTCAGGGTTGGTGTGTTGTTGTTTCTTTTGGTGTGTGATAGAGCCGGGCTGTTGGGATAGGACACAGATGAGGTCTGTATGGTTCCAGGGAAGAGACTTTTTGAATACTTCATACTAATGAACGGATACACAGTGGGACTAACTTCGCCGCACATTAACAAACATGAGAACAGCTTCAGATTTAAGCCTTCCAGTACGCTTTTAGTCGATTTGGTGGCTAATAAAGAACGGGAAAAGTCAGCGAGAGAACGGGGTGGGGTGAGGGGGCGAATATTAGCAAACTACATTGTAGTAAGTTCTCATATGATGAATAAAAGTATTACTTTAAGAAAGACTCCTTGTTAATTTTGTATAGCGGTGAAGGCCAGTGTTACCAGTTCGGACTCTGTGAACTGGAGAACCCCTGCCACCCCCCAACCCCCCCCCCCACACACACACGGGATGGAGGAGTTTGAGAGCAGTCTGTTACTTGTCTCCAGACCTTTGTCGTTACTATTTCTTTTATATCAGGATTTTCTTTAAATTCAATGAAATCATGACTCTCCAAACAGCATTTGCATGCTAAACTAGTTTGTAAAGGGAAGTGAAACGTTCTAACTCAGGAGCGTTCACAAAGGCGGCAGGTAACTCTGCCAGCCACCTCTAGGGCTGATGATGTCTACCCCTACCCTAACGCTGGGATTTCTCTCACCCGCTCTTCCAGGCCTGTGAGGCGCGTCCCTCTCGGCTGCAAGGCTACGAGCGGCTCAGGCCTGGGCTTGGTGGAAAAGAAGTTCACAAACAAGGAGCTCAACTTTTCGGGCAGCCGCTCCAAGTCAGGCAATCAACACCCAGCGGTTTTGCTTATAATTTGCAACGGTGCTGTTGAAAGTTGAAATGTGCGAACACGAAAAAGAGGACGTGCCTAAAGTATTTTTTCTTCCACGCTGACAATGTGTCTCCAATGATAGAGAAGCTGGTTCATGCAACTGGCTGATTAGCATGGCGCAGAAGTTACCAGATAATTCCTAAAAAGTCAGTTAGTAAAACAGTACTCAACATAAAGCCCCACTCTTCCCTGTTTCTGGCCAGGGTTTTAGAGCAGCAGTTTCGGTGTTAAGTTCAAACTTTCTTCCGTGAGTGATCCCGTGAAACGAAAGGCGACAATAGAAATGGAAATAACACAGAGTGAAGAATGAGATTATAGCAAGAGAGAGGCATGATAGGTAAATCAGTATCCGCGAGCCAAACATCTCTAGAGCCTTTTTATGGTTTCAGTTACCTCCTGGATTCCAGTCCACAGCCGTTTGGGCCCGGGAATGTCCTGCGCTGACCGGCAGCCCCAGGCTGTTTCAACATCCATCCGCCTTCGCTCGCTCGGCCTGGAGGTCCCGGGCCCAGCTGCCCAGGGAACCTGTGTTCCTGTGGCTTGGGGTGGGATAGAGGCGACCCGCCTGGGTCACGCTTCGCTCGCCAGAGCCCAGCCCGTGAACAGAAGTCCGAAGTAAGCTGAGAATTTGTCCCAGTCGAGTTCTGCTCTGCTCGGTTCTCACTCACAAATCTCAGCTAAAACGACGACGTCTCCGCCGCCGAGAGGGACGGAGCTGATGCGACAGCCAACGAGGAGCTGGGGAGCGCAGCTCGTGGGACTTGGCGGGGACGGGGAGCTGGGGCGCGTCTCCAGCCGCCGGCTGCTGGACCCTTCCGCTCGCCCGCAGCACCGTGCGTGTCCCGCCCAGCTCCGAACTGCAGCAGCGCCTCCCCCAGGGCACGGCCCCCACCGTCGGCCGGGCCGGCGTGACTGTGGCCGATCTGGTCCCGAACTCTGGCCTCAGGACCGTCACTGGCCCTCCAGCCCCTCCCTGGCTCGACTGTGCTCCTCCCTCCCGGCTCTGCTAGCCCGAGAGGCTGCAAGAAGGAGGGGGGAGGCTTGTAAGTTTCGGGAGGGGGGGCGCGGGTTTGTGTTTACGAGACCAAGAAACAGTTGGCGGGGAACTCACTTGAAAAGTTTTTGAGCCGAGCGCTCACTAATGGCCAGGCTTTGACAACTCCGGGTGTAAGTGAAGGGTCAGCCAGCCTGCACGTCAGGTGGGCGGAAACAGACCTGCCTGTGGGGCAGGCCTCGGGAGGGACGAAAGCTTGGCTGTTTGTGTCGTTATTAGTTTTGTCGGTCACTTTCTTAAACTATTCCAAAGTACCTGTGGCACTTCTCAGTCCATCCTCGAAAAGTCTTTCAGCTGTGTGTGTGTGTGTGTGTGTGTGTGTGTGTGTGTGTGTGTGTGTGTGTGTTCGTGTTCTCTCCATTCTGGGTTCCTGGGGATTCCTTACTTTTTGAAACTGGTTGGTTGATGGTTAGAAATGGCCTGACTATAGCACTTAAAGTCCCAGAGAAAAGGAGAAAATTTCCTAACAAGAGATCTCTTTTAATCTTACTGTTTTAAGTCACACGCTTCAATTTGTCCTCTGAGTCCTGATTTCCCTGGGCCAAACCCCAGACCTCCACTAACACTGAAGGAGATGGCAGTGGTACCAGACCCACCGCCGGGTGACTTCCACAGCCTCGGGGCAGAAGGGTCTCAGCTCTAGCACCTTTCACTGCACAGCCTGGATGGGTACACTCTTTGAAAGCCCTTTGTCGCTCGCCCCACCCACCTCAGGAGTGGGTTTGTTACTGGAGTTTAACATTACCCACTCCGGGGACACCCCTAGAAAAAGAGGCTTGGTCCTTTATTAAGGGCTCTTACTACTTTTTCAAATATCAATTTGGGTTGTTGCCTTCTTGCTGAATGGACAGGTGTGTTGTCTGGAACCCCGACTTTAGAGAGCCCGAGGCAGGAGGATTGCTGCAAGTTCGAGGTCAGCCTGGTCTACAGAGATCCAGTCTGAAAACTTCAAAACAAACAAACAAATTTACCTTTTTAGTCTGAATTGATTTAGAAGTTTTTCATTGTTTTTCTAGAAATCTCCCTTAACTCCCTCTGGTTAATCCTGGCCACTGGCCTCCCAGAGGACCAGTATCCTGGGAACGCCTAGAACTGCCAGCAACTCTCTTTTGGCCCTAGGTGACCACGAAGGGCTGGTGGCTTGACGTCATGAAAGCCTCCGCCGCGTCCCCCAGTGCGGGCAGCAGCCTGTAGCTTCCGAAGGCTGTCTGGGTCAAGAGTGGAAAGGGAAGTGGCGCGCAGAGTAAAAAGCTGGAAGAACCGGGCCAGTCTGTGTGAATCACTCAAAGACTGAATGAGGTCGGCTCCTGTTGCTTGTGAAGGAGGCGAATGTGTATGTGTGTGTGGAGGGGGGGGGGGTCTACCTAACCCTGTGATTCACAGCTTCTCAGAAATTTACATAATACAAGGGCGTAGATGTAAACCTAAAGGACAAAAATAATAATTCGATGGCACATATTTTATTTTCGCACCGCGGACCTGGATGTGTTCCCGGTGTTGGCTCGTTATTGCTTCTTGGAACTCTCTACTCAGAACGCAGAGTATCTGAACTTTCACACCACTGCTGAAGGAGAGGAAAAAAGAGAGAGAGAAGGAAGAGAAATTAGCTTTTATAGTGCTGGTCTAGATTTCTCAGCTGCAAAAGACTTTTTTCCCCCTCCTTCCTTCAATTAAGAGCATTTGTTTTGAACAAAAGGCAGCAAGCGCGGTAATAATTGGAGTCTTTTCATTCCCAGGGACCTAGTGCCATTTTATATGGCTGATGTTTTATTTCACGCAATGTAGTTAGCCTTTAATATGAATGGAAAGTTCCAATTTATCAATTCCTCAAGTAAGTGAAGACTCAACTCCTACCAAGAGAACCGACTGTCAAAAAAGACACGTTTAATACAGAATAGAGAAATAGTGGTCAGAGCAGCTACAAAACACATGGGAGCTGCAGAACTCTCCCCCCCCCACCTCCACCCCCGTGTGTGTGTGTGTGTGTG